CGATGTTGCAACAGGGGATGGGGATGGGGATGTGGATTCTTCAGACATTGCCTCTGACTTCGAGTTTGCTAGGTGCAGTATTAACAGAGAACATACGACAAAGTTTTTCTTATCAAAATCTATTGCTAATTTCTTGATCTCTCGACAAAAGAAAAAGACTAAGTGACTACATAGAAATTTGTACTTGGATGGGACAAAGGTGAGACCTAGAGTGGCGTATTTATAGACGGGTTAATTAGAAGTGGTTATTTGGTACATGCAGCCTGCTTGACAGTCATATGGTCTCTCCTTGAAACCATCACTTGTTTTGGTGTATAACGGGTAATTTTCTTCGTTATTGAGCCCTCCGTTTTGTGACATTATAGTCCAAAAGTTGTTGCATGAATTAACTTTTCGAATAAGAGTAGACCGAAATTTTTGGGTTTAGGGTGGGGTCTCATATGGACTATCGGTCGGCCCTATCAAGCTTTTTTGTTTTTTTAGGCTGGGTTGGACTAAGCCAAGGTCTCAAATATCTAAGTCGAGCCCCACCCACTTGACCGGGCATATACGGGCTTGGCGGGGCAGGTCGAATGGGCCGAGTCCTTTTTTTTTGTTATTGAAGAGTTTGGACTTGGATGTGGAGTTGTAGTGCAATGTATTATAATATTTTGTTATAAATTTTTAGACAATATTAAACAATTAACTTGATTAAATAATATAAATACTTTATTAATTCATCCTCCATATTACATTATTTGAATTTAGTCTTCAATGAGGTTAGGGAGTGCCCTTGGATGTGGGGTTGTAGTTCAATCCCCTTTATAACTTTCTGTTACAACTTTTTTGATGAATTTGAAAAAATGAACATAATTCACAACATTTGTAAAATAAAAATAAGAAGTTTATTAATTCATCCTGCATATAACACTATTTCAATTAAGTCTAAAATGGGGTAAGGGAGCGAATGAATTAAGTCTTAAAAAATAGGTCCTAGACTGGCCTAGACGAGCTAAGCCATGGCCGGGCTGAGCGAGCCTAAATAACGAGTCAGGCCAAGTTTTGGCCTATATCAACCATCGGACTACCCACTTTAGCCCACGGGCCGTGGGCCTAATGTTGATATATATCCATCATCTATAAGTATGTACTACATTATTATATGATCTTGTAAGACATACATACATAAACCACTTTTGTGACATCTATATGGGAAACATAGGAAACTTAAAAACAAGAAAACTAGTACTCATCATCACTAATTTCTCCTACTTCCTTATTAAAAGACTAACATAACAAATTAACTCAAACTGAAGAAAAAACTCAATGTTTTTGCAAGAGGTAGATTGTCCATGGTGAGTACTATGCAATGGAAAGCTTCCACTTCTTTATCATCCATATTAGCAAATAGGCTCAGCCCTACGGTATACAATGTCTTTGGCCCCTTCATGAATTTCTCCACAAAGTCGAACGACTTCTTGAAGTTGGCGAAACGCTTTTCTTTCTCTTCATCGCTCGAGTAAACCAGCTTGTACTCTTTCATCCACTACTCAAATGCTTGAGCAACATTTGCATGAGTTTCCTCAGACGATATCGATGTTGCAGCAGTGGATGGGGATGAGGATGTAGCTTCTTCAGACATTGCCTTTGACTCAGAGTTTACTAGGAAAAATATTAACAGAGAACATATGACAATATTTTTCTTATCAAAACCTGTTGCTAATTTCTTGATCTCACGAAAAAAGAAAAAGATTAAGTGACTATAGAGAAATTCGTGCTTGGATGGGACAAAGGAGAGACATACGATAGCGTATTTATAGACGGATTAATTAGCAATAGTAATTAATTATGTAAATATGGGCCTTTAATTTGTGTCCAGTGTTGCACCCGTGGTTCGCAACATTATAGTCCAAAAGTTGTTGCACGAATGAACTTTTTGAATAAGTGTAGACCAAAAATGCTGGCTTGGCGGGCCAAGGCAAATGAGCTAGGCCACTTTTTTAATTTTTATTTTTGAAGAGGTTGGATTGGATGTGGAGTTGTAGTGCAATGTCTTATAATTTTTTGTTACAAATTTTTAGACGAGCCAAGCGGGCCTAAACAATGAGTCGAGCCAAGCTTTGGCCTATTAGCTCTCCAACTACCCACTCCAGCCCACAGGTCGCGAGCCTAATGTTGAGCCATATCCATTATTTATAAGTTCGTACTACATTATTATATGATCTTTGTAAGACATACATACAAAAACCACTTTTGTGTCGTATTCTGTATAGGAAAACATAGGAAACTAAAAAAGAAGAAACTTAGTACTCATCGTTACTAGCTTCGTTGACCCCTATCACAACAACTGAACAGAGGCAAACTACATGTTCAGTTAATTGTGAAAGTGTATAGGTTCAGTTGTACTCTATGACAAAAGATAGTATAGGCCCCGAACCTTAACAACATATCACCCTATTTCATCAAAAAAATTGCCTAGGCCCTAAACCTTCACATATCACCCTATTTCATCAAACAAATAGTATAGGCCCTCAACCTTCACATAGCACCCTATTTCATCAAACAAACAATATAGGCCTATTTCATCAAAAAATAGTATAGGCCCTCAACCTTAACATATCACCCTATGTACTCTTATGACAAAAAAATTACTGTATATCATAAGCATGAAATGCTTCTGCACGTCCTCCTACTTGGAACTGTGCTTATCCTTAATGTGCGACTGAAGTGCGGCATCAGAATAAAATGTACTGCAAACAGCAAGATAATACACATAAAAACCAGCAACATAATACAATCACTATTAAGAAACATAGAAAAACTAAATGTTCTGGCCTAACGTATTTGCTGCATAGCTCGCAGGGTTGCTTGCCACCATACTGTGCTGTTTTTGGCTTGAGCTGGTAACCCATAGCCTGCTCATGAAACAACTGAATTCTCTGGAAAAAAAAAATAATCAAGGTAACAATCAATTAGAAGACCGGCCAAACCATGAAAACCACAAAATGAAATTTACCTTCCTAGGAGTAGGGGTCTCCTCAGCATCCTCATCATCAGTTAACCAAACAGTTGGGCCAGTACCATCATCATCAGTAGAGTCAATAGAAGCCCCCAACTACCTTTGTTGAGCCTTCCACCACCACCTCTGTTGAGCCTTCCACCACTACCTCTGTTGAGCCGCCTTCCACCACTACCTCTGTTGAGCATTCCACTACAACCTCTGTTGAGCCCTTGGTAGAATTTGTCAATGCCTCATCTCTTGTTGAGCCTTCCACTGTAGAACTTGCCCCTTCCTCTGTAGAGCCTTCCCCTTGTTCATCATCCTCATCAGTATCATCCTACAATTAAAAATGCAAGTTTCTAAAGTCACTGTGGACATCACTTACAAACTACAAGGGGCTTTACAAGCCATTAAGTTTGTTGTTTGGTTCTTAGGTTATATAAGCAACATGGTAAAAAAATCCTCATGAAAGTCTCTAAAGTAATTACAGTTAAAATGGCTAGAAAGCTATTATAGCAAACTATTTAAAAAGTGTTTTGGTTCAGCACGTTAATACAACAAATGATGATAACAACGTAAACTTTTTTTACTTTTCAGCAAGTACAACATTAAAAGTTATATTTTTGTAATTTATTTAAATCCTTATTTAAGAGTATGTAACCTTCCTATTGCTTATGGTTGTACATGAAAATAGTGTATTTGACAAAATCTCAAACCAGGATGCAGAGTGTAATAACATGTTTCGGTTGTCTCTTCGGGTTGGAGTTATTCAATTACAATGAACAACAGTGATCTTAGTCTTCTAATTTTGAAAGAATGGAAAAAATAGAAAACAAAGCAATAAGTATTGTTTTATTGGAGAAATATTTACTTTACCTACCTATAAGTTAATGATGACAAGTGACAAATATAGGTGGCGTAAAAATCGTGCACTTTAGCAGCTCAAACATGCAAATGTTCCTCATATCATTTGGACCTACAAAACAGTTTGTCGGATTAGGTATTGTTTTTATTTCAAATTAGAAATAAAAAAATCATAACCTTGATGATTATACTCTAATTTTGTAACAACATTTTTCTTTTGGTATAGTAGAAAACTTAATCAAAGACATAAAGACTTTTTACGCCAGATACTTTATATCACTTTAGTATCTCAAGTGAATGAGTTTACACTTTAATTTATTTTTATACTCATTTTTGTACCAGTTTTACAAACATCGTATCTGTTGCTATGTGGAGAAATTAGAGCACAAAATTAAGGTACCAAAAAAAAAAAAAAAAGGGCCGCTATAGAAGCTAAAAGTAGCCTATAGTAGAGTAGTCGGCCTAACAAAATCATCAAGGCAACATAAAATTCCCCTTATGAATGTAAAATCATGAAACTGTTCCTTTAATCCTCAATCAATTTCTTATTAATTGTTTTATTGTTAAACAAGGCTTCTTATATAGAAACGAAAGGATTTTCCTTTTGTCTCTTGTCTTTTGAAAATAACAGTATTTTTGGTACAGTTTTCTTCCGATAATTGGAGTAGGCATGTAGCAAAGGATAAACTATCAAAATTGAAGGTGAGTATACGTGTATGCTAAAATTTGTCAATTACAAATTTATAAGTATATGATTAAACTTGTCTCATCTCATGTTATTTATGTATAGATTGACAATGAAAAAGTGAAAGATCATTTAGAGAGGAACGGGTGGCGCAAATGGTCTTGATTGTTGCATGTCTTCCTCCTATGTGCATATTATGTAAATATTTATGTCCATAATCTAAAACTACGATGTTGTGTAGAATGAAAATATTATTTTACTTAAATTATTTGAGATTTTCCTATTAATGTTGGATTTGCTTTGGATAATATTAACGTGTGGGTAATTACTTGAATAAGAATCCCCCTAGCTCCTAAAGTTCATTAGACTAGCCTCTCTGCACGCGTTTCCGCGTGTGCGAGAGGCTTTTTTTTAATCATGCGCGCTACGCGCGACTTACAAAGTTTCGTAAATATTTTTTCGCAATTGTATTTATATAGTTGTCCGTGGAGTGCCACAGTGACCACCGGGAGTGTCGTCATTTTTCAACAATTTCATGAACCCTCCTTCACCCCACTTTTCACTCCATGAGTTCTTGAGTATCCAGTACTGGTCAATGGTAGCTTTGTCAATCCGCATCCCAACAAGTAAAACCGAATGGCTAATGTCTGTGCCACATTTCGAGCGATATTTCCCGCCTCTGTACTGTGAAAAGTTAGAGCCGTGGGCATTGATCCCGACCACTACTGGCTGTTCGTAGAGAGCATAGGCGAGCTGGTCCTCATTCCTCGGGTTCACGATTGCATAGGCATCGATCTCTAGACCATCTCCTTTTTCCTTGACAGTGTCACAGGTTCTTTGGATACCCTGGTATGGTTAATTTTGTTCAGTGTTTAGACCTTCATTTGAGATAATGTAAGCAAACGCATCCAATGCATTTCCACCTCCACACCTGTGGTTGGCAGCATTGCAGTCGATGAGCTGTTGCACGGATAGCATTGGAGGATTTTGTAATTGGAAAATTAAAGCATGAAGAGCTTCCACGGTTGTAGTGGTTGCAAACGCCCAACAAGAACTTGTACATATAATATAATATTACAATTAGAGTTAGACACACAATATATGTATAAAATAATTAGCACAAAGTAAGAAAAATGAAAAATGAATCCATATGTAATGGTTGCAGTACAATACCAAAAGTAGGTCCTTGACTCCTTATGCCCCCACCACATATTCTGCTAAAGTCATCAAGGGAGGTAACTTTCTTTTTAATCCTCTTGTTAGAAGGAATAGGAGGCGGATTATAGAGAAATTTGTGCTTGGATGGGACAAAGGAGAGACATACGATAGCGTATTTATAGACTGATTAATTAGCAATGGTAATTAATTATGTAAATATGGGCATTTAATTCATGTCCAGTGTTGCACCCATGGTTCGCAACATTATAGTCCAAAAGTTGTTGCACAAATTAACTTTTTGAATAAGCGTAGACCAAAATTTTTGGGTTTACGGTGGGCTCGTGAATGGCCTTGGTCGGGCCTATTGAGCTTTTTACTTTTTCGGGCTGTGCCGGTCTAAGCCAAGGTTTCAAATGTCTATGTCAAGCCCCACCCACTCGGCCATGCATATGCTGGCTTGGCGGGCCAAGGCAAATGGGTTAGGCCACTTTTTTAATTTTTATTTTTGAAGAGGTTGGATTGGATGTGGAGTTGTAGTGCAATGTCTTATAATTTTTTGTTACAAACTTTTAGACGGGCCAGGCGGGCCTAAACAATGAGTCGAGCAGAGCTTTGGCCTATTAGCTTTCCAACTACCCACTCCAGCCCACAGGTCGCGGGCCTAATATTGAGCCATATCCATTATTTATAAGTTCGTGCTACATTATTATATGATCTTCGTAAGACATACGTACATAAACCACTTTTGTGTCGTATTCTATATCGGAAAACGTAGGAAACTTAAAAAGAAGAAACTTAGTACTCATCGTTACTAGCTTCATTGATCCCTATCACAACAACTGAACAAATTTGCTCATGTTTGTCCCACAATCCTCAAGAAATTTTCCGCCCTTTGTTTTAATTTTGTGGAAAGCGCGACCTTTGGCATTGACTCTAGCCAGTATTGGCTGCTCGCACAGACCCTTGGCCAACTCATCCTCACTCCTTAGTGTCATGACTTTAAAGCTATTGATTTCGAGAGCATGTTTTTCTCGTTGACAACATCATGTGTTTCGGTGGACATATGTAGTGTTAATTTTCTTCGTTATTGAGCCCTACATTTTGTATTATGTAAAAAGAGGACTTTAATTCATGTCCACGGTTGCACCCATGGTTCGCAACATTGCACTTCAAAAAGTTATTGCACGTGTTGACTTTTTGAATAAGCTTGGCCCAAAAATTTTGGGTTTAGGGCCAGCTATGGCTCGGACTTTTAGGTCTTTTTTATAATTTTCAGGCTGGGCTAAACCGAGCCAAGTTTTCAAATGTCTAAGTAGACATGTGCCCACCAGGCCGAGCCTAGACGGGCTTGGCAGAAAGGGAAGAGCAAGGTAGAACATGGGCCTAGACGGGACGGGCATGTCTTTTTGAATTTTTTATTTTTGGTATTTTTTATTTTTTATTTCCAAATGGTTAGCCATGGATGTCGAGTTGTTGTGTAATGTCTTCTAACTATTTGTTATACATTTTTAGACAAAATTCAAAAACTTTACTTAATTAATAAATGTGTATAACAAAATAAGAAGTTTATTAATTCATCCTAAGTATTACATTATTTCAATTAAGTCGAAAATGAGGTTAGGGAGTGCACTTGGATGTGGGATTGTAGTTCAATGTCTTCTATAATTTTTTGTTTCAAATTGTTAGGGAACCTTGAAAAAATTAACTTAATTCATAACATGTGTAAAATAAAATATGAAGTTTATTAATTCATCATACATATTACATTATTTCAAATTGATGTAAGCATCAATTAAGTTTTTTTTTTAAAAGGTGACTAGATGGGCCGGCAGTAAATGGGCCTAGACAGATCGGGCCGAGGGTTTTAAATCCTAGGAACATGCCTTACCTAATTCAAGAACAGGCCTAAACAAGAGGTCGGGTCGGGCTTTGGCCCACAAAGCCTCGGGCTACCCACTTCGGCCCATAGGCCGTGGGCCTAATGTTGATCCATATTCATCATATGTAAGTACGTACTACATTATTATATGATCTTGTAAGACATACGAACATGCATTAGAGCAGGTCTTGCGACTTTATTAGAAGCAAACATTATAATTTTTCTTCTAGCCACCCAAAACATCATATTTGAACCTTCAGAGCCTAGAAGAAATAGCTCTCCCCCTCTAAAAAATTGTACCAACCTATCTTCAGTAGGTTCTTCAATCTTGGTAAGTTTTTATCTTTTTTTTATTTATTAAATTTCCAATTTTAATTGTTGTTGTTAAGTTTTTATGATTTAGGGTTTGGGTGAAAACTTTTGGGGATTGTTATATATGTTTTATTTTTGCAACTTGAATTATTAATTAGTATATATGATTTTTGGTGTCTAGTATTTCTTGTTAGGATATCTTGTTACATGATGATAATAGACCAAGAAAGAGAAGAAAAACTATTCTTAAAAAAAAAAAAGGGTAACGATAGTAAGGATACACCTTCTGCATCTGATGTTGATACTTCAATTCCTGAGGAATTTATTCAACTCACATCTCAAGTAGTTGAACAATGTATTTGATTTTATATTTATTTATATTTTGTACTTCTTTGTGTTATATTTGCTTGTAATGTGGCTTTGTTTGATTTATAAAAAATTTATTTACATTTTTGTTTCAAGAGAAAAAAAGCTTATAATATATCTCCTATAGAAAAAAAAAATATTAGACTACCCCTATAAAAATTTGTTAGGATATCTTGTTACATGATGATAATAGACCAAGAAAGAGAAGAAAAACTATTCTTAAAAAAAAAAAAGGGTAACGATAGTAAGGATACACCTTCTGCATCTGATGTTGATACTTCAATTCCTGAGGAATTTATTCAACTCACATCTCAAGTAGTTGAACAATGTATTTGATTTTATATTTATTTATATTTTGTACTTCTTTGTGTTATATTTGCTTGTAATGTGGCTTTGTTTGATTTATAAAAAATTTATTTACATTTTTGTTTCAAGAGAAAAAAGGCTTATAATATATCTCCTATAGAAAAAAAAAATATTAGACTACCCCTATAAAAAATTTTGGATCCGCCATTGCTTGAAAGTAATATTAGAGCAGGTCTTGCGACTCTAGGAAGAGACGTGTTTGTATTTATATTCGTTCTCATGCTATGAACCATAAAACTTCAACTTTATGTTCCAATCTCGCTCTGCAAGTCTACGAGGAGACGTGAGTTTTGTCCATATTAGAGTTAGAGTACTTTCCAAATATGTACATAATTGGGGAATGGTAAATAACTTGGACACTAAAGGGAATGGTCAAGCCAATCTGTTTGCTACTTTTTGCTATATTCGCCAGCCTAATAACTTGGACACTTTGGATGGGAGCCTTCATTTCTAACAAACCCTTTTCATGCTGAATTCTATTGAGTCTAATTCAGTTGTGGTGGGAAACACTTTCTCTCCATAGAAAGTGTGTTATTGAGTTTTTCGTTCGTTTGTATTATTGTATTTATAATCTCTTCTTACATGTAATGTGAAGAGAAACAATATTCCTGCTAAACATTGATTAAGATAAATTCTTTTACATAAATAATAATATTGTGACGAATTCGTGACCCGTAGGATTGGTAATTATTCGTCACTAGTAATGAGAAATTTAGCAAAAAATAGAAATTACAACGTTAGTCTATTCATATTCTTTGCTTGGTGGTAGGCCTCGTCAATGGGCCGGGTTGGGTTAGCTTGGCCCAAATTTAATGGACTTGGGCCTAGCCAGGTCGGGCCGGGCCGGGTTTTTTTTAAAAAATTCAAAGCCTAAGCCTAGCACATGGGCCGGTTTTGAAAAAGCCCATTGGGCTGGGCCGGGCCTAAATGGGCCTACTTTATTTTCTCTTTTTAAAAAAAAATATGTATTGTCAATTCTTTATTTATTTTTCTATGTTTTAGTGTGTTTCAATGTTTCCTCTTTTTTTCATAGTTCTCTATTTACATTTGTCTATATGTTTATGTCTCCATTTTTTTCTTTGTTCATAACTTCATAGTTTTTTTTTTTTTCCATAAATATAAAGATATAGTTATACAACCCCATATTAATAAAATCATATTTTATCTAATACTTCATTTTTTTAGTTCTTATAATGATAATAGATAATAATTTTCTTCATATTTCATTTAACTTGGGTTTTTTATATATATATATATTTATTTATATGCATGTGAGCCCGTGGGCCGGGCTTTTATGGGCGGGCCGGGCTTTCTTGGGCTCAAACAGGCCGGGTCTATGAGCCGGACCGAACTTTAGACACCCAAGCCCAAGCCCGGCCCACTCAACAACGGGCCTAATAATGACCCCTACTTGGTGGTCCTCATGGATATACAAAACAGCCACAGTTTTGCAGAGAGTGTAGGCTAGGCAAGCTTCTCATTCAAATTTATCAAAAACGTGTAAAAATATACTAATTAGGGCTAAACCACTGTTTGCCAACTTTTTCTTGTCTTACTATAAGAAAAATGTATCATTCATGAACCATGATATTATGCAAGTTCACTCAGATCTGCCTCTAAATAGATAATCACAACTCGTACGTCCTCTTCATCCTCCTCACGAGTCACAATGAGGTAGCTTCCTAAGACAAACAATGTAAACAAACAGACGCGTTTGTAATGACGTGTTTTTTATTTCTATTTATAGGCTTCGGTAGAAACCTATAGAGAAAGGAGGGAGTTAGGCTTTGTTAGAAACCTGTGTTAGGTTAGGATTGCTCT